AGCCGCGAACTCGATCAACAAGAGCATTTGGAGATGTCACGCGTCTTCAAGGCCTTGATACTGCCACTTTTGCTCTATGGAAGCCAAACCTGGACGTAATCAAGTACCTTGGTGGATGCGGCCATGCGAACCCGTCGACGTTAGCCCCCGACGATGATTATATATCTATATCTATTATTATATATTATACATTATATATATATATATATATATATATATATATATATATATATATATATATATATATATATGTATATACATATATATAAATATATATAAACATTATATATATATACATAATATATATATATATATTATATATATATATATATATATATATATATATATATATATATATATATATATATATATATTATATATATACACAATACATTATATATATATAGATAGATAGATATAGATTATATATATATATATATATACATATATACATAAATGCTGGTTGAATTCGGGCAATTTTGGTTAGGGGTGTAGATAGGAATATTCATAGAGGGGGCGAGAAATGAAGATATCCCGACAAAAATTTGACACTAATTCTCATTTTTTAGTATTTTGAACATAACATAAGGCCACTAGAACTAAACGAAGCAGAAAACCATTGTTATTTTTCCGACAAGTGCAGAAATTTTCCAACAAAATGGCAGTTTAGCCTTATAGGTGGGTTTTTTGCCCCCCCCCCCCCCGACCCCCTCTATCTACGTCACTGGTGGCATTCATCACAAATTTTCTGGCAGGTAAAATTTTTCTTCCACTTTCACTCGGGCAGAAAATTTGCAGCCCCCCCTAAATTTTAAATGCCCCTACGTCGATGTATATATATATATATATACACATATCGCCCACATAGGAGTGTATGCGCATTTGTGCATATGTGCCTGGATTTGCATAATTTGGGTATCATATATAATATAATATATATATATATATATAATTTGTACGCATGCATGCACACATACACACAGATGCAGATATATTTAATCTAACACTAACTGCAATATCTTCATTAACTTCCTCATCATTACAGAGTAATGGGTCATACAGTGCAGCATCAAATTTGAACATCCCATTTTCTTCATCAGAAAAAAAAAAGGGAAAAACAATAAAACACTACATCCACTTTTATCATTATATATATTTTTTTCCAAAACAGAAAATGCTAACATTAGTATATAATAATCCTCGGCCAAGAGACGCTCCCGAACGCCTAGCCCTTCTTGCCCTTGCCGCCGGTCCTCTCCGAGCGCCGCCCCTTGCCCAGCCCCAGCCCTCCCGTCTCCCTCCTGGCCTTGATCTTGGTGATCTTCTGCTTCCGGCTCTCGTGAATGCCCTTGCCCAGCTTGGATGCCCGGTGGTCCGACCTGGTCCTGTGGCGTCCTCCTGCCTTGGACCTGCGCAGCTGCTTCTTGCCTCCCTTCTTGGCGAGGTCGGCCCTGCAAGATGAAAGGGTTTTTGGGTTAGCATTGGTCGTCTTGGAATCTGATTTTAGGGGGCTAGTTATGTGATATGGTGTGTGTGTGTGTCAGTGAGTGTCATTGTGTGTCACGATGTGTCACAGTGTAATATTGTGGAACCAGGGTAGTTAGTTTTTGCTATCCAATATATAATACTGCTGAAATTATGAATGTCTAATGTAGAGAGAGTGAGAGAGAGAGAGAGAGAGAGAGAGAGAGAGAGAGAGAGAGAGAGAGAGAGAGAGAGAGAGAGAGAGAGAGAGAATGAGAGAATGAGAGAATGAGAGAGAGAATGAGAGAGAGAGAGAGAAAGTAAAGTTAATAAAGTATTGCTGTACACTAAAATAAACCCAAAATCAAAGCAGCTAATGCAAAACCTCACACAAAAAAACAATCAGATAATAAATGCAGTGGTTCTTTGGTTTTATTTCATGACTACACCAGGTCTTCCATGGTTATAAGAAATAAAATTAATGTTATATATATTCATGTAAAAGCCCTTGTGATTGTGCCGGATGTCCATTCCCTAAATTTGCAAGAAAATGTATTTTTCTCTCTAATACTACTAATATTGACATTGTTATCATTCTTATTGATATTACGCTTATCAAATTGTTATCAAAACTATAAAAACATTAAAGACAATAAAATAACAGAAATGAAGCTTTCAAAAAATCAAGGAAAAGGGTTAACAGGAGAGATAGGTAATAACTGACTCCTTGATGACTAAGAACTTGCAGAGTCATCTATGTGTAAAGACAACATATGAAATTTTAGCAAAAAGTCTCATTGTAGAATTAGGGGTAGATAGTGGGATTTCATTTATGTTGGGCATGGCTTTGTAGTCCTGCCACATGCATTAATTGGGTTAAAAGATGAAAGGGAGTGGGAAGGGTGAGATAACAAATTAATAGATATACAAATAAATAAGTAAAGAGAAAAAAGCCAGGAGGAGTGAATAGGGAATCAATAAGTACTGAAAATACTTAGAAGAAAAGTATATGCAAACGATATGGACTACAAATTTGAGAATCAAACTCACTCAATGTTTTCTTCTCTAATCTGCTTGTGTACGGCTGTGGACAGGTTAAGCTCATTCTTCTCCACCTTCTTCAAGACCTCCATATAGCGTTTCTTCTCCGCCCGGCCGTCACCTGTGGTCTGTTCGTGCTTTCGCTTCTTGCCGAGGCCTTTAGGTACTTGTTCGTTGGGCAATGTCGGCTGGAATTTGCCCCTTGATGCTGTTGCAAATCGTGAGTGATGCATGGCCACACCCAGCTGAAAAGCACAGAAAGGATTTTTTTGGTCAGTAGCAATCAGAATTGTTTCTGTTTCCAAATTTGTATGTCGATAAGCAAAATCAATTGTCTGAGAACCCTTTTATGCAATTAGGTAATCCTCCTTAAATTCTATATTGTCAGAGATGTTTCTTCCTACTGTAGTTCACTCTTCTTTCAACAATGTCACACTCAAAGTCCAAAGTTACATTATCCATTTGAAAGATTTACCATTACACAAGACAAAATAAATCCAAACCAAACAAACAAAAAAAGCCTTTACAAAGCTACTTACATCTTTACTAGTAGCAAGGTCATTCCCAGTGACCCCCACATTGGGTACTTTCAACTTCCTCGACTTGGCAATGTTGCGGAGGCGCTGGTACTCGTTCTTGGCAATGCGCTCCCTCTTGAGCTCCTTCTCCTTGGCGAACATGTCCTCGTATGGGTCCACGTTGCCCGGCACCTCCTTCACCCAGTTCTTCTCCTTCTCTGCCTGCACCTTCTTCATGCCAAACCGGGGCACCCATCTCTGAGAGGAGGAGGAGGATTAGGGTTGGGATTCTGAACGTGCTAGGTTTATTTGCAAGAGAAAGCACTCCCTTACTCCTGGGAGAATTCAAAGCTTTCCTTGTGCATAGGATGGGAAAAAGAGCATTATATAGGTGTCAGAGATTTGGACTTGTCTTACTACACAAAAAAATAGGTTACCTTCCCTCCCCAAGTCATTGACCTCCCTGCCTCCCTCCCTCCCTCCCTCCTTCCCTCCCCTCCTCTTCCTCCCTCCCTTCGGTGACTTCATGATGTGGAATAACACTTCACCTTTTATATTCAAGGGATCAATAAATATGAAGATCTAAAAAATCTTTCCTATTTCATGTTGCTCATGAATCTATTAGCAATAAATGCTTTGATGTAATTATTTCATCAATTACTTAGTTTTATCAATGCAACTAATTTAGTTATTAGCTACTTCATTTCGCTTATATATGGTTCATGAGAAATCTCTTTCAATAAATGAAATCATTTCAATATTCTAAAACTGCACATGAACCACATTCTTCACTGACTGGGGGAAGATGGAAAGTATTTTTCTTAACCCATTCGCCACGGATTTATGTTCTGTCACCTGTGGTTTTTGGTGAATTTTGTTACATACAGATGGCTCCACATGTGCTCAGCCGGCAAGGAGTCTATCGGTAGGCCCTAGTTACCGACCCTGATTTTCCCATTCATTGAAATGGCGGGAAAATTAATACCATTGCTTTCGTTACTGTTATTATTGTTATTGATGTTATGATTATTGAATTGTCATTAGAATATTTTTGACAATATATGATACAAAAAACCCTTTCCTAAAGTGAAGGAAAAGGGTAAACAGGTGAAATAGGTAGTTCTTGATAACTGGCTATTTGGTGATTAAGAACTTGTAGAGCCATCTATGTGTAAATGCAGTAAATAAACGTGTATCAAAGTGGGTATGGCATCTATTCTTGCCACATGTGGCGAATGGGTCAAAAAGGGATAAATCATCTAAGTCTCCGCCACTCAAAAAACTGCTCCTCCTTGGCACAGACCATCAGCACCTACCTTTAAGATGTGATCCCAGACCTTCTTGTCCTTCTTCTTCTTCGTTAACCCTTTGTCTCGTGCAAACTGTTCCCACTTTGTTAGCGCTTTCTCTTTGGGTACCGGCTTTTCACGTGGAAGACTGGTTGTGGGGATGAAGGATTCGTTTGAATAAACACACCAAAAAGTATATGTATTCTCAGGCAAAATGGTTTTATTCATTAATTTTCTAATAAAAGTTGCCTAAAATTTAAAATAAGTTAAAACAAGTAGCTACGCAACCCTTCTATTCACTGGCACATTTATGCTTTTAGTCACACCACAAAATTTAAGGGTATTCCTTAAAAAATATAACATGACAACATATTTCAATAAGGACATATTTCAGTATATCAAGCACCTGTAATGAAACTACCAGAGAAAGATTATCTCCCCAGATGAAGCAATCACCCAATATAAAACCAGTTCTATGTGATTCTTGAAAAATTTTGAATATTTTTGCATACAAGTGTATAAAATTATACAAATACACCTTTACAAATAAACTTACATTGTGGTGGTTTTGGGGAGACTGACAAAAACTGCATTGTCTTCTGTGTGTGATGGAAGGTCCCAGACTTTGCTCATGAGCGCCTGGACACCATCTCGGGCCAGACTTTGAAGATAATCGGGTCTTGTGTCT